CCTATCCCCTCGTGTGCCTTGGCAGGTCTCCTAGAATGTTCCCACGGCTTCCTGAAAGTCCTGTTTGAGCATAGAAGTGAAGACCTGACCCCCCCCCCCTGAGATGGCCCCCGCTCTGCAGTTAAATGCTTCTCCTGTCCTTTAAGCCCAAACATGGCAGCCAGAGGATTTGGATCCAGTTCAGTTCTGAGCGCCTGGGACAGAGTTTGAAAGATCTCTGTCCGCAGTACTTATATTAAAACTACGTGTGTGTTTAGAACAAGCATCCTCTTTGGTGCCTGTTGATCTCCCTCCTCCGCTTCCTGTCTGCATTTAGGACAACAATATGTTAGATTTTTAAAAACCTTTTTCTGAGATTTTTTTCATTTTTTCCTGGAATTTTTTGGTCATTTTTGCAAAAATATTCAGTTTTCTGTCCAACATTTTCCAGAAATCTTTTACACAATTTTAGATGAAATTTAGTTTTGGGACATTTAGAAAATCAATTTAAAACATTGTTTTCCAGATTAGAAAAAATATAGAATCTCATCACGTTTTTCTCTTTTTCCAGAATTCATTTGACTTTTTTTTGGGACAGTTTTTACACATTTTCCAGGTATTTTTAAAATATATTTCTGCTGCCGTTCTCCCCCCCCCTCCCCCCCTCTCTCAGGAGGAGGACGTGGACTTCCTGGCTAAGTTCTCGCGCCTGGTGAACGGCATGGGTCAGAGTCTGGTGCTCAGCTGGAGCAAGCTGTCTAAGAACGGGAACGTTAAAGAAGCTGCGGAGGCTCTGCAGGCTCTGGAGAGCAAGGTTCCTCTTCTGCTGCGGCTTCTGATCCACGAGGACGACGACATCTCCGCCAACATCGTGGGCTTCTGCTACGAATACCTGCACGTCCTCAAGCAGGTGAGCCGGCCTCGTTTATCCACACGGCACGCTTAGAACAGCCTCCGCCTTTAGAGACAGGAAACCATCAGGGACAGGCCAGACCTCCGGGTCCTCGACCAATCACATTTTCCAGGTATTTTTAAAGATATTTATTTCACATTTTTGACATTTTATTTTAAATGTTTTCATATTTTCAGAAGATTTTTGGGTATTTCTCAGATTCTTCCGCCGCTTCTCGAACAGTTTACCTGCAACCAACATGACGTTCACAGAACCCTCTCTGGGGATTTTCTGTCTTGCGTTTGAGAATAGTCAGAGTGCAGCTCCACCAATCAGACATGAGCGTAAAGCTATATGGAACAGGAAGTATTCTTGATGTCTGTGTTTCGCTCCTGCAGCTCCCGCAGCTGACTGACCAGCAGAAAGCAAACCTGGAGGTGAGTCTCTCATTAGGATTTATAATACTAACCTTTAATAGTTTAATAGATGATGATGATGATGATGATGATGATGATGATGATGATCACCAAACTCTGCGTCTCTCTCCTCAGGCCGTCCTGCTGGCTGTGATGAAGAAGCTGACGTACGACGACGAGTACAACTTTGAGAACGAGGTGAGGAGGATTTGGAGTACTTCAGGAAAGTCGACGGGGGGGGGGCTAGTGGAGTACTTCAGGAAAGTCGACGGGGGGGGGCTAGTGGAGTACTTCAGGACCACAGAGTGTGAACGTTGTGATCAGCTGTTTTAGCGCAGTTCTCCAGTTCTCACAATTCCGTCGTACAGACCGACGTTAACAGCAGCCCTGTCTCTGCACACGGAGACCGACTCTGTCGTCCGGTGATCTAACCGCCTTCTGGAAAAGCTTCACAAGTACGTCGGTACGCAAATGTGCTTTGTGACACAAGAGACGGTACGCATTTCAGATTACGCACATAACCTGCATACCAGTTATGTGCACCCCTGTTCTACAGCTAAAGTATTCTCCGTCAGGACTTCCTGCAACAACACCACGCCGTTATCTTGATTCTGATTGGCCAGAAGACATTATCAAAGATGTTCTATTGAGAAGACGATCACTACGTGACAAAAGTTTTCAAAACCGTTTCTAGTCTTTGGTATTTCCAGACAAGTGGCTACTGAAATCAATCTGACTAACTGCTGTCTGTGGGATTTACCCCGCGAGTTGGGGGACTTTATTTTGCTTACTTTAACATCATTTTCATGTGGGGCTAAGCCATTCTTCGTATGGGTGTAGACTACCCCAGCCATACCGCCGTTAACGCGATAATTTTGACAGCATTAATATATATATGTATATCTATACATATATATATTTATATAC